CACTCCACACTCTACACTCCACACTCCTCACTTTACACTCCACACTCCTCACTCCACACTCCACACTTTACACTCCACACTCTACACTTTACACTCCTCACTCCACACTCCACACTTTACACTCCACACTCCTCACTTTACACGCCTCACTTTACACTCCGCACTTTACACTCCACACTTCCCACTCCACACTCCACACTCTACACCCCTCACTCCACACTCGACACTCTACACTTTACACTCGACACTCCACACTCTACACTTTCCACTCTACACTCCACGCTCCACACTCCACAATTTACAAACTCCACACTCCACACTCTACACTCCACACTCTACACTTTCCACTCCACACTGCAGACTGGCAACAGGGGAAATATGTACAAGACTGTTCAAATAAACCATTGCAGAAAAGCGGTGTGCGTGACTGCATATCCATGTGCTTTGACATCTGTACCATTAACATACGTGTGAGCATTCGGGTTCGTGGGCTGCATCTTGTTTAATGGAGATATGTTTGATAGAATGGAGATAGAATGGATGTTCATTGATAAATAGAATGAAATTTATAGATAATCTGGATAGAATGTTATTCATAGATATGAATATCCATATATTTCTATAACTTAATGTTAATTGTCCATTTAGATATTAATTGTCTATAATGTTATGGAGATCCATGACATAATGAAGCTATAATGGCTACAAGGTGGTGCCCCCCAGTTATAAGTTGGTTTATAAACCCCATTAACTATAGATATAAGTACAATAAACCATAGTTATTGGAGCTATAAACCAACTTAGCTAACTATGGGGCACCACCTTGTATAATGGATTTTTTCCCCACCTGCCAGGTGAGGGTTGTTAGATTTTATCTAAGTTGCCTTCTCCTCCTCCTCCTCTCCTCCTCCTCTCCTCCTCCTCTCGTCGTCCTCTCGTCGTCCTCCTCCTCTCGTTGTCCTCCTCCTCTCGTTGTCCTCCTCGTCTCGTTGTCCTCCTCGTCCTCCTGCTCAACTGCGACTCGCGATCCACAGTGTTCGCTGCCGGACCTCAACCACGACCATCCACGCCCAGTGTTCCCTGCCGGACCTCAACCACGACCATCCACGCCCAGTGTTCCCTGCCGGACCTCAACCACGACCACCCACGCCCAGTGTTCCCTGCCGGACCTCAACCACGACCATCCACGCCCAGTGTTCCCTGCCGGACCTCAACCGCGAGTATCCACGCCAAGTGTTCCCTGCCGGGCCTCATGTAGGAAGATAAAATGTCAGATAGAGTGCCAGAAGATTTGCCAGGTAGAATGCCAGAAAATATGCCAGAAGATATGCCAGATAGATATGCCAGAAGATATGCCAGATAGAATGCCAAATAGAATGCCAGATAGGATGCCAGATAGAATGCCAGAAAATATGTCAGAATATATGCCAGAAGATATGCCAGATAGAATGCTAGAAGATATGTCAGATAGAATGCCAGAAGATATGCCAGATAGAATGCCAAATAGAATGCCAGATAGAATGCCAGAAGATTTGCCAGAAGATATGCCAGATAGAATGCCAGAAGATATGCCAGATAGAATGCCAGAACATATGCCAGAAGATATGTCAGATAGAATGCCAGATAGAATGCCAGAAGATATGTCAGATAGAATGCCAGAAGATATGCCAGATAGAATGCATCAGATTTGCCAGATAGAATGCCAGAAGATATGCCAGAAGATATGCCAGATAGAATGCCAGATAGAATGCCAGAAGATTTGCCAGATAGAATGCCACAAGAAAATGCCAGAAGATATGCCAGATAGAATGCCAGAAGATATGTCAGATAGAATGCCAGAAGATTTGCCAGATAGAATGCCAGAAGATATGCCAGAGAAAATGCCAGAAGATATGCCAGAAGATATGCCAGATAGAATGCCAAATAGAATGTCAGAAGATATGTCAGATAGAATGCCAGAAGATGTGCCAGTAAGAACATGTATAAATGTCATGGTGGGGATCACACGAAGTAAAGTAATTTGAATGGATGTTCATTGATATATCTGGATGAATTTCATCATGACATGTGACGCCATGCCGTTCCTTTTGCGTCACTGGAATGATGAGGATTCGGGGAGGAATTGTTCAGCCGCAAGTTTCAGAGATGTTCAGGTTAAATGGGACCAACAAACAATGGGAAAATCATGGGAAAATCATAAGAAAATATGGGAAAATCATAGGAAAATATTGGAAAATCATAGGAACATATGGGAAAATCATAGGAAAATATGGGAAAATCATGGGAACATATGGGAAAATCATGGGAACATATGGGAAAATCATAGGAAAATATGGGAAAATCATGGGAACATATGGGAAAATCATAGGAAAATATAAGAAAATCATGGGAAAATATGGGAAAATCATAGGAAAATATGGGAAAATCATAGGAAAATATGGGAAAATCATGGGAACATATGGGAAAATCATAGGAACATATGGGAAAATCATGGGAACATATGGGAAAATCATAGGAAAATATGGGAAAATCATGGGAACATATGGGAAAATCATAGGAACATATGGGAAAATCATAGGAAAATATGGGAAAATCATGGGAACATATGGGAAAATCATAGGAAAATATAGGAAAATCATGGGAAAATATGGGAAAATCATAGGAAAATATGGGAAAATCATAGGAAAATATGGGAAGGAAAATCATGAGAAAATACTGCAAAGCCAGTGTTGCATAGGGTTCACCTTTTTGCCTGACCTGTTTTGCGCTAGTGCCGACGCGGGGTCCCCGTCGTTTGGCTACTGAAACTCAACTACGACTGACGGCCATCCCCGTGCACTGCGCAAGCACCGCAATTGCCAGAGTTAGTGCAACCACTGCAGGGTACCTGTTGCTGGTATGCCGAAACAGACACCGTATCCATCTGGCCCAATCGCAGTCGAAGATGCACGATTAAAAGACATATCGACCGGGATGAACTGGAACATGCAAGATGCCAGTGATGTCCGCTTCCTTGCAGTTAGTGGCACGCTCTGGGTTGGAGATTGCCGAACAACGTATGTGGAAATATGGAATTTTTCTCATACTGTCCGGTAAACGTCCAATAACGAAATATCCACCATTTTGTAGCTGGGAAAATCCACGAACTTTCTATGGTCATGTTCAATAGCTATTTTGACATAACCAGAGGGTATTGTAATTCTGCTCGATCAACAGAAAATCCTCACTCGAGCCACCCAAAATACCATGGTGAAGTTGATTCGCTATAATCAGCGGATTTCAGCACCAAAATATGGGACTAATGGGAAAAACATGGGGCTAGGATTGATTAACTGCTGATGGGTTACTATAGGGGATTGTACTATTTGGTTCATTGGGGATTATGATAGCCCATATCAGAGATACCTATCAACCAAACAGTATAATTAATAGGATTGCCCACTGTGTTTCCAAAAAAGGGAGACTGCCCCAAAATGGCAATTTTACTATAACTTGGGAAAATGATGGGGCACTGGGGTTACTCTATTTTCATCTATTTTCAGGCAGACCCACCTGAAGGTACTACTCCTTGAAACAAAAACGAAAGCACGGAAAATAATCCTCTTCTGAGCGACCAAAGATTGCCATTATTAGAAGCTGTGACACCTTACATGTTCTCTCACCCCAGGAATAGGGGAAGATAAGGGCAGAGCAGTCTTGGCTGTTGCTGTTATTAAAGTCAATATCACCATACTCGTATCTATTTTGATGAACCTGTCTTTCGTGTTTGTAGCTTACAGCCTCTTGTTTTGGACTCAACGCGCGAATATTCTGTTGTGAGCGAAATCTCCCTGTGGATACTCCCAAGTTGTGGCCATTTCAACCTATTGTAGCAAGGGAAGTGATGAAAAACTTGGCTGGATTTGGCGGGGTTTTCCTCCAATTTTCAGCACCTACCATAACTCTGGGCTCTGGTTACTAACCAGTTGCTGTCCTTAGCTACTGGGTGATTCTTGTTTTCAATGGATACAATCCGTGTCCGGCATGCCATGGAAGGGAACCACCAAAGAATCCGGGGCAGTCAGAGTAGGAATAGCATGGAATAGCCAATCAGTATAGATAGCGAACAATCAGTTACTGTATCATTGCTGGTACCTGATGCAAACATGATTCCTGATTTTACTAGCCCACGACCCGCATGTTTTTTGGTTGAATCACCATTTATAGCCATTGATAGGGTTGGTTGTTTGTACTGGGACTATCTGCCCCCAGTTCTGCGATAACTAAGTTGGTTTACAACTCCAACAACTATAGGTTATGATACTTGTAACATCTTATAACTATATATGGGGGTTTCCGTAAATATGGGATCCCCAAAATGGATGGTTTATAGTGGAAAATCTTCAACAAAAATAGATGAAAAATGGGGGTACCACCACGACTTGGGAAACCTCCAGATTTTCCTGGTGGAACTGGAGGAAATGACTATGATGTCGCAATGCTTTTCGTACCACGCAGGATGGACCACTTCACCCATCAGGGTACCCAACTCTTATCTCCAGCATGGAGCCATTACCCTCTGGTAAAACCATATAAAACCTCCATTTCTAGTGGGTGACCCATCCAACCAGAGGGTATCCCCACTCAAATCACCTACGGTGCCCACCTTGTCTCAGGACATCGGTAGCGAGGCACCAGCGCGACGCCGCGCTTCACTGCGGCATGTTCAGCAGTCAGTCGGTGACTTGACACCGGTCCTGGAAATGGATACAGGATGGGGCCCCCAAGAGATGTTTGTTGGTTTATAAATTTATAAACCAATACTGGTTGGTGGTTTCAATGATTTAGATTATTTTCCATTTCATATATTGGGATGTCATCCTTCCCATTGACGAACTCATATTTTTCAAGATTGTTAAAACCACCAACCAGAATATAACTATAACCCACATTCATTATAGTTATATCTGCCATAAACCATAGAATTCAGCCACTTATAAGGCAACTGAACACTATCTTGGGGGCCCCATCCTGTATGAGTAACCCACCATTTTTTTGACAAATTTACCTCAGCACACACACTATGTGGATGATGACTGTTTAAATGATGTTTGATCTGTGGGGACGCATCGAAAATAGCATTAAGTCTGCTTTAGGAATCATAGATTATCCAGAAAGATAAAATTATTTGTGACTATTAAGTTCCATAACTTTTAGGAACAATATTTAAGTATATTATAGGTAATCTATGAAACATCTATGAATCACATTTGAGTGTGCCAGAAAGTAGTTTGTTTCAGGTGTGTGAGCAAGTTTCACCTTTCACAGAGTGAGTCATCCTCAAAATCCACACAAAGATATGGTCGGGTTAGGATTAATCCAAAGAAAATAGAAAGTTAAGCAAAACTTCTTTAAAACTTGGCGAGAATTCGCCACCTTAATGTCACAAACAAGAGATTCGGGTTTCAGGCCTCTAGCGAACAAACATGGTTCGCTGTAAAACTTTACCATCCGTGTGGATCAGAATAGTTGTTTGTCTACAAGAGCGGTTTTTCCATCACTACAGCATGGTGCCCCCCCAGTTATAAGTTGGTTTATAAACCCCATTAACTAACTATAGTTATATCTGCCATAAATCATAGTTATGGGAGTTATAAACCAACTTAGCTATCTTGGGGGCCCCCCATTGTAGAGTACACTATTACTATTGGACAGTTCAACAGATGCTGAAATAGTGAGCAAAAAACATAGCTTTTGGTGATCTAGCGATGGTGAGCCATTGCCGCCAGTGTAAGCGTGAGCAAAAGACATTTTTCTGGTGAGCTATTTCCTAAACAGGATGGCCATTTTTATGGGTCCAATTTGACCCCATCCTTGAGCCACATCCAGTTAAGGCGATTGGCGACATCGGCCATCAGTGGGTGGCGCTTAACATCGTCACTGTAGTTGTTAAAAAAAGTCTGTTCACCAGTATTTGTTAAAAAGTGGGTTATGCCTCAGATTCCATGAAAACCACTGCAATGTGAGTATTGATCCCACTGTGTGGCGCTTAGTTGAAGGGATTCTGAAACTAACTGTTGCTGGTTTGATGATCCATCCGCACCACTGGCGATTTGTACGACCATTAGGAATCGCAAGACCAGTTTTCTGCCGAGACAAGTTTGCAATCCAGTTCAATGTAGGCCCACCAATGAAAAACAAAGGTTGCAGATAGTTAGAGGTTCACCAGTAGCAAGTATAATCTGCCAAATGCATCCAAATGCTGATTTCTGGTGGTCGATATTTGGGCTCTATCATCTGATATCCAAAGGTTTTTGTTTGGGGCTAATAGACTGATGACTAGATATATCCAAAGATTTAGATAAATCATTCATATATAATATAGTATATCATTGATATTTCATAAGATTTAGTAAGTGGGCTGTATACTCTAACATTTAAATGATCCAAATAATCCAAATTATATACTATAACATTTAATTAGTTACATGTATATATCACCATGCTATTTGAATGTTATATGCTCTGGTGTATATCAAATGATCCATGTTTGACAGGTTCATGCTTCAGCTGCAATCTTTGGCCCAGTTGGGTGACTGCGGAAGACTGAGGACACACATGTAGGTGCCTTTAAAATTCGAGAAAAATGCGTGTAGATAGTGTGTAGAATATTTGTCCATCGCAGCATATATATATATAATATGTATGTATATATATATATATACGCTCGGGGCCCTAGGTTTCCGCAGAGTATCTTGGTTCTCATTGATCCATATGTCAAAAATCATTGTTTCGCCACAGCGAAATGTGGATTTTGCACATTCTTCTTTTTCTTTCTTTAATGACAATGTTACGGAGCTAAATTTTTAGGCCCGCGCAAGTTGCATGTTATGATATGTTATCCACAGTCCATGTCAATTGTGATTTTCATGTTTTCCTACACGAAATACCACCTTTCATGAATTTCTTTGTTTTTGTTTATCCGGAATTGTCATTTTTTTACTGCGGCACGTGGGGTAATATAAAGAGGTGTCTTTTTTATTGGTATTTGCAGTGAATTTTAACGTTAGGATGAAACGACACATGTTGATAGTCAGCCTTTTTTTTGCTCGTTGTTGCTTCAACTTCATCAGCCTGCTGCAACATGTTCTGTTTCAAAGTTTCTGATTTTCTTGTGTTCCCACACGAAATAGCACATTTCATGAAAGTCGTTGTTTTTTTTAGCGGAAAAGTACTGCTTTTACTGCCGCTCGTGGTGTCATATGAAGGGCTGTTTTTTTATTTGTATTTGCAATGTTTTTTTGTTAGCATGAAACGGGACATGTTGATAGTCACCTTTTTTTTGCTAGTTGTTGTTAGAACGTCAACACCCTGCTGCAACATGCTGCAACATGTTCTTTTTCAAAGTTTCCACGTACCATGAACATGACGTTAACATGCCCCCCCCCACCCACCCTCAACACCATTAACATGACTTTTAACATGCCCCACCCCACCCCTCCCATCAACGTTGACATGACCTTACCATGCCCCACCCCCCCTCAACGTATGAACATGACGTTAACATTCCCCACCCCACCCCCCCCATCACGTACCATGAACATGACGTTAACATGCCCCACCCCCCACCACCCATCACGTACCATGAATATGACGTTAACATGCCCCACCCCCACCCCTTTCTCCCACCAGACCAGACTTAACATCCCCGCACCACCCCACCCATCACGACCACATGACCTTAACTGCCCCACCCACCCTCCCATCAACGTACCATGACTGACGTTAACATGCACCACCCCACCCCTCCCATCAACGTACCATGAACATGACGTTAACATGCCCCACCCCACCCCTCCCATCAACGTACCATGAACATGACGTTAACATGCCCCACCCCACCCCACCCATCAACGTACCATGAACATGACGTTAACATGCCCCACCCCACCCCTCCCATCAACGTAACCATGAACATGACGTTAACATGCCCCACCCCACCCACCACACTACCATGACATCGTTAACATGCCCACCCTACCCCCGATGAAACGGACGTGGGGCCCCACCCCACCCCACCCCTTGCCCTGAGGGTATATATATATATATATATATATATACGTATGTTACATATTTATATAATCATAATTATATAATCTATAATGAAAATGATGCATATATACAGGATAAAGCGCGACGCCTTTGCGATGACAATCAATGCTACACACTCCATAGTGCGTCTTCAACATTTTCAGTCTGGCCTAGGAACTTGCAGCGATGGAGGTGTGTTTCCTAACGTCGGGCGAGACTCTCACAGTCCTTGAAGATAAATTGCATGGCAAAAGGGCCAAGTCAGTGAAAAAAGATTTGGCAGCCAAGGTTGGCATTTCCAGATTCAAGCAAAGATTCTTTCTGGAAGATGGTTCGGAGATCCTTGATGATGAAGTTCTAGATCCAGCTCCACTGAAGATCCAGCTGGTGGTCTTGGAATTCTGGCCAACTGATGATGAAGAAACACAGAAAATGATTGTGGCATCTAGAGACAACGATGTAGTTGCTCTTGAACAGTTGCTGCAACGACCACGAAACCCCAATGATGCAAGCGGAGATGGCAAGACGCCCTTGTTTCACGCTGCAGAGCAGGGACATGTTCAAGTTGCGGAACTGTTACTGGAGGCAGGAGCAAAAGCAGATGTGCCTGAGTCTGCCGGAGGATGCACACCATTGTGGCTTGCAACTCGAAATCATCACCTTGAAGTTGTACAGTTTCTAGTCAAAGTTGGTGCAGCCAAAGATCAAGCAGATAACAATGGTGCAACACCCTTGTTGATTGCAGCTCTGAGTGGCCACCTCGACATTGTGCGCTTTCTAGTCGAAGCTGGTGCAGCCAAAGATCAAGCAGCTAACAATGGTAGAACACCCTTGTTGATTGCAGCTGGGAAGGGCCACCTCGACATAGTGCGCGTTCTAGTCGAACATGGTGCAGCCAAAGATCAAGCAGATAACAACGGTGCAACACCCGTGTTGATTGCAGCTGAGAAGGGCCACCTCGACATAGTGCGCATTCTAGTCGAACATGGTGCAGCCAAAGATCAAGCAGATACCAAGGGTGCAACACCCTTGTCGATTGCAGGGCTGAGTGGCCACCTCGACATTGTGCGCTTTCTAGTCGAAGCTGGTGCAGCCAAAGATCAAGCAGCTAACAATGGTAGAACACCCTTGTTGATTGCAGCTTGGAAGGGCCACCTCGACATAGTGCGCGTTCTAGTCCAACATGGTGCAGCCAAAGATCAAGCAGATAACAATGGTGCAACACCCTTGTTGATTGCAGCTCAGAAGGGCCACCTCGACATAGTGCGCTTTCTAGTCGAAGCTGGTGCAGCCAAAGATCAAGCAGATAACAAGGGTGCAACACCCTTGTTGATTGCAGGGCTGAGTGGCCACCTCGACATTGTGCGCTTTCTAGTCGAAGTTGGGGCAGGTGCAACTGAAACTTGGATGGGAATTTCGGAATAGAATCCTCAGCTTCAACTTGCCACCTGGATCCATCCGCCTCCTGACTGAGTTAGGTTTTGATTTTCCCCGCTGGAGTGTCAGTTCCATTTGAGCCTGTGGATCACTTGGGAAGCAACACAGTGAATACATCAATGCCATTGAATGGCATTTTCTCATCAGTCCACAGTATAGAATATACAATGCACTGTAAGACTCATGCACAGAAATCTCAGTGTATACCAAACTATTAGGTCCGCAGCAGTATTTGATTGCGCCAAGCTTTGAAAAGTTGAGACGCGTTGTTGTTGTGTCGTCAGATTGACAAATAGTTGTTGAATCAAGGAATTATATAATTGAGGCAACGATTGAGGATCCTGTTTAAATAAGGGTACCCTCTGGTAAACAAACATAGCTATTGAAAATGACCATTTATAGTTGATATACCCATTAAAAATGATGGATCTTTCCATAGTTATGTTAGTTTACCAGAAGGTAATTTGGATTAATTTAAAAACCCTTTTTGTTTGCATTAATTCAAAGAGGGGTATACCGGTATACCCAATCACAAAAATCCATTGGGGATGGTGACTGTGGCTTTGGGTTTTACTAGACATCAAAAATGCAACCAGAAACTGTGGCGAACGGCATCCATGAAGGAGGCATAGATTTAGCTAACAGGAATCAAAATATAGTTGGTCAACAGCAAGCGCAGAGCTCTGAAGCCAACATATCTTCAACTGGTTGGTGGTTTGGAACATGGCTTGTATTTTCCATAATATCTGGGACATCCTTCCCATTGACTTTCATATTTTTCAAGATGGTTAAAACCACCAACCAGTCAATATCACGGAAAAGCATCGAGAGTCTCACCATGTTTGATTAAAATGTGGCCAGCAACAAGCAGCCAGAGCAAGAGTTTCTCCACGGTAGAACTCTGAATGACACTTGGGACTTTTTTTTTTGAGAAGCACCAGGTTCCATAGGTTCCATAGTTCCAAAAAGTTCCAAACGAAAGCGGCCCCAATGGGAACCACCAAATGCGCTGTGCCAACGAAACATTGTTGTGCCAACTAGATAGTCATGCCCGAGGCGATGCTGGACAGAATGATGAAAAAAGAAGATGTACACATGTGCCGTTTCTATTCACATGGGTGATTTGCCCCAAAAACGGAGATGTGATGCCATATATATATATGCATATATATATATGATATATTGAAGTTGCAGAACTTGTTTTATCTACTTCTTGTGATGTTCATCATTTCCAGACAAGAATACTAGGTGGTCCACCCCAGTTTTAAGTTTGTTTAGTTTCACCCATATATCTATCTATTTTTATATCTAGTATCTCACTAGATCGATAAATCTATCTATTTTTGGGATGTGTTAACTAGTTCGATACATCTACTTGGTTGTTGGTTTGGAACATGGCTTGGATTTTTCCATATATTGGGAATTTCATCATCCCAACTGACGAACTCCATCATTTTTCAGAGGGGTAGGTATACCACCAACCGGTAATGATTACAATGGCTAATCAGTGATTAGTAATAACCATTATTTTGATTAGTAACCACTATTAAGAATGATTTACCATGATCAACCATGATATATCTACTATAGGTCTCACTGAACCCACTGAACTAAAGCAACTTCCGCGCGGTCCGGTCGAGCACCGGTGAGCACCTGCAGGTGATTCTGGTGGCCTCAGCCTGCCGGGCGAGATTGTGACGCTTTGGCAAAGTTAGATATGGCATGCCACCCAAAAAATGAAAGTTTAACATGGTTTAACCAAGACGATACTGGGTCAACCTTGATTAGATACCTAACTAGTACGCCTTCATCTGTGTTGCTATCATTGGTAAAACATACTGAACACCTCAAAAAAAACTAAAACTGAGTTTTTGTTGACAGATATCTGAGATTTATAGATTGACCATGAATGTGGGGTTAACTCTCAAAAGATCAGGATATAAGTTCATACTGGGATCTAATCGAACTTCTGTGGGGATATATGTGGAGATTTCAGCATCATTTTTAGGGGGCTGTTTTTCAACCCGAAGGAGTTCTAATGGGAATAATGGGAACTTGATCATCAGCACTGGGGGAATCCGGATCAAACTTGGGAGATTTTGATGCTTTAATATCTTGCCATACATGGCTGTACAAAAAGATATGTCCATCCATTGCTGAGAGAAATACAGATATTTGCAGGGTATCTAAGATTGGCCTTGGCCAACCACCCTTTCTAAGTAGCTGTGGGGCCAATGTCAAAACCTATGATACCATTGCGGGGATGAGCAATCCTTTACCAGGGTTTGGATCTGCAGTAAACTTTACGCGACACAAATAGGCAGAAGAGTGATGTACCCTCTGGTAAACTAACAGTTTGCTATTGAACATGGCCATAGAAATAGTTGATTTTCCCATTAAAATTGTTATTTTCCATAGTTATGGGACAGTTAAGTTATGGTAAGTTCGCAATCATTTAACTTCACATCCAACCAGAAACATGTCATTTTATGCGGCCCGCAAGAAATAGCAGGACGAGTTCCCCGCGCAGTCAGTTAAGTCTAGTTTAAATCATGAACGCAGCATCTAACCATGACAATTGCAAGGATTCATGGGCAATCCCATTTCAATTGGAATTCCCAACAACATGAAAATTGGGATCCCTGAAGCCACAATGCCTGGGAAGTCGCAACCGAGATCTATTGAGGGTATGTCTCATCTACCTAGCAGTGTACCCAGCAATATACCCATTTTGATTGGTTATAGTAGCCCCAAAACAGATAGGAAAAGTCGTGGTAACTCTTACTATTTGGCTATGAATCAATACCTATTAATACCATTTTTAGAGGGATGAACATCCATTTACCAGCTATTTTTATGTTCACCAGGGGTACAAAGTTTTGACCCACTGCCATTTTGCTGGACATGTGTTTGTCCAACTATCTGGTGGTGCCACGAGGAACGCTGAAACCACTGACCCTGCGTTCCGTTCACGGAGCAGTTCGCCCACCGCCACCCCTGTGTCAGCGGTTTCTCGGTTTTGAAGGTTTGCCTTTTGACAATTGGTGAAAGTTTGCTGTGGAAAATCACCATTGATTGCTTGAGGATGTTTTCGGATTGTCTGTGCATAGTCCATTTGCCATAGCTATGGAAAATAGAGGTTTCCTAAGTGGAGGGTACGCCAAATCACCAGGGGGTTCAATACTAAGGCATGGTCATCCATCACTTGGATGACCTTGAGGGTACCCGCATGACTTGGGAAAGCCCCACATCTAGATGTTTAGCCCTTTTTGGGATTGAATGGGGTGACAGTTTCCAAGGCTTGGGGCAGATGGGAGTTCAACCAACCAGCGTTTCAACACAGCGAGACGGGAATTTGAGCACATTTTGGGCTATGAAAATTATGGTTTCTAGTAGATATCTCATTATCTATAGTTAACAGGGGTTATAACCTAACAAATGTTTTCTAGTAGAAAACATTTTGATGGTTAGGATGTTTTGACCAGCAAAAACAAGACTTGCTTTTCTGCCCTCCACAGAGTCGCAATGGCAAGCGACCCTTTCCTGGAAATTTGCCGCTCCTTTGCCGACTTCCTGGTAGAACAACGTGATCACTGGAACTATGTCCTCCGGGAATACGAGGCAGGAAATTGGGAGCAAGATTTGGTTGCTCGAACAATGCAAAGCATGCGGAGGACCGCTGGGTCCTCCCAGGGCAGCACGACCGCGGCAGCTGCTGGCAGCACGGCCTGTATAGAAGCTGTCAAAAGTATGTGTTCCGAGGTGACAAAGGCGGCCTTGGAGAACTTGGCTCCTTACGAAGTGCGTTGCGAGGCGATAGCGTGGCAGAGTCCTGCCTCAGGGCAGCACGGGAGCTGCAGGGCTGCCGGTCCGAACTTCCGTCGCTGGCTGGGAGATGCTGACCTCTCCTTGGACAAGTGGCCAGCTGATGACACACACAAGGAGTATTTGGAAAGGATCTGCTCCTCCATCTCCTGTCGACCCGGAGAAGCATGGGTATGAACCTTTGAATTATCAGTGGAAAGGTTACTGGGGCCCTGGGCAAAGAAGCTAGGACGAATCACTGGTTATATGTCCCGTCTCCAGAGGGATACCCTCACGTTTCACAATCAATAGGTGAATGATGATGAATGTGTATTAACATGGCTTTCACAATTTCTATCAATTTCTCCAAAGATTCCCACACTTCTTGACTTGCGCACAGAAAAAATCCCATTGTTTTCAGCTCATATCTTGAAACAATCTAAATATTTGGGATAAATCTGACAATGTGGTAATATTCACATTCCAGTTAACCATCCCATTCAATGGCAATCTTCCGGGCCCCAGCATCAGACACAGCCATATCTCACATTGTTGGTTATACTATCTCCCTCATTTCTGTACAATCCATTTTTCTCCGTGGACAAATAGGTACATTACAGTTACATATTGTTCTGTCGATCTATGTATCCCCACTACATCCCCATTTGGGGTATGCCTCATCCACACCCAAAGCTCTTCCTATCTTAATCCTATGGATCCAAACATCTCCTGAGAAGGTACGGCAAACCCCTCAAATCATACCCCAGTCACACTTCCTAAGAAGGTACGGCTGGATCCATAGGGACCAAGAATTAACCATCAATAACCAACAAAAGCCCTAGTTAATGAACCATTAATCACCGTTCATCACCACTTTTTTTGTTGCCCTTGACATTCCACCACAACGTCTCAAGGTCTCCAAAGGGGCTACATCACCGGAAGGACCTGAAGGTACGGTGGCTGCCATGGAAAAGCAATCATGATTGTCTTTGTGCCCTCTGGTAATTTCACATGGCTATTGAAAATTGTCATTTAGTTTGTTGATTAACCATTAAAAATATTAAAGAAGGTGATGTTCCATAGTCATGTTGGTTTACCAAAGGGTAGTTAAAAGCCGGTTGGTTGATGATCACAATGGGGATTGAACCACTATTTTCGATTTTAAAGCATCAACATGATGATTGATGATTAGTTCGGGTAGCATGCTAAGCAATATCATGGGCAATATCACAGTCCATGAAGAGGGAAAGCTGATGCACCAAGCAGCATAAAGGGACGAACAAACATGTTTCGAACACTGCTATTCTGAGCTGTTACCCTCTGGTAAACATGCAAAAAACTATGGAAAATCACCATTTTTCTGGGAAAACTCGCTATACATGGCCATTTTCAATAGCTATTTAGACAAAACCAGAGGGTAACCGAGAATAACTCTGGATGGAACTGTAATGACCTCAGTATGACGTCACTGGATGACCTTTTCCCATTGGTTGATGAAAAAAGAAAGGTTTGAAGAAAACCCTTTAACCTTTTTTTAAGGCCTATATAAGGCCTATGTAAGGGAATATCCCCACAAAATATAGCCTGGAATATGGTACAGTAGCCTGGAATATGGTACAGTAGCTCTATGATGATAAATGGGATTAACCAGCTCCCGGCCCAAACTGTTATTTTTACCAAGGGGACAGTATTGGTTGCTATGGCATATTTACATATATTTACCATTTAAAGTGGATTTACCCATTAAAAATGGTGATTTCCCATAGTTATGGGACAATGATTTGTTTTTTCGTCGGCCAGTAGCTGACACAGATATGGAAGAGTGCCCACCATGAAAAGTTCGATGATTCACCCATGAAAAGTCGATGGCGATTTTCCAGTTCGCAAACTCTAAATGTTTACCATGGGATATGTTCATGATCCATTAAACCTCATTAAAACTCATTAAACCCCATTAAACCCCATTAAATCCCATGAAATCTCATTAAATGGACCCGTTATACTTGAGACTTGGATCGCCCAGTGGATCTTTCAAAATCGCGCCATGAGGCGCCGGATCGAAGTGTGAGCCCCAGAAGTCATAGCCTGGTTGGTTAGTGATGGTGAATGATGATGAATGGTTCCTGGTTGGCGGTTTGGAACATGTGGATTATTTTTCCATCTACTGGGAATAATCATCCCAACTGACTGGGAATAAAACAGGATCCTAAAATGGAGTATCTGTACCATATAAGGCCATATTTGCGGGGATATTCCCTTACATAGGCCTTACATAGGCCTTATATATGGAATCGGTACCTCCAATCAATCGGTACCTGAAGTGGCCAGTGAGATGATGAATGGTTCAATTCTTTGGTGATTAATGGTGATTAATGGTGATTCATCTGGGTAAATTATAACGACCTCACTGTTCTCCCTCACTGGAATCATGGTTAGTAAGGGACATCATCCCCAAATGGCCTTAATTCAGGTTAGTGAATTATTACAATTTGCCCAGATTCATGGTTAATCAACTAGGGATCTTGTTGGTTATTGATGTTCGATGGTGATTAATGATGAAGTTCCTGAGCTTAGTTCATGATGGTTTATGGTGATTAGTGGTTAATCTACCCTGGCTGGTTGATGAATTGGAAAGTTTATAGTATATACCCTCTGGTAAACTAACATAACTATGGGAAATCACATTTTTAATGGGTAAATCAGCTATAAATGGCAATTTTCGATAGCTATGTTTGTTTACCAGAGGGTATAATACCTAAATTTTCGGCGATTGGTTGATAGCCGATACGATTGGGAAAGCGTTTTGAACCAGCACTGAATTGATATAAACACTGGTGGTGTGATATTGCAACTGGTGGTTTGATTTTATACTAACCAAGACTCAAAACAAAACAAATCACGAAGGGCCTTCGTTCGATGCGTGACCAGTGAAATAAACGGTAAAAACATGGTGGTTTTCAATCAGATTCTGGCATTTGTTGGGAATCCATATATATAAATATATATATAATTAGTATATATAATATATATATTCAAACGTGTTGCTTCGTAGCATGACAAACATCTTCCACTCAGCAACACAGTTCTTGTGGAAAGCAGACTTGGATAGTAAATCTCCGGTTCCTATGCGTTATTTTATGGAAAATGTTTGCAAAATGTGATCATCACTTGCTGAATTGCCGACTGAAACAATCTGAAACATTCAGAATGATTGCTATATATTGTTATTAAGCCTATTTTCCTTGGGTTCTACGATACTTATTTACGATCCAGGTACCCCACCTAGACGTGATTCTGGGTAGCACTCACCCTTTGTGCTCTGACATCCCAACATTTTGTTGTTGACACCTCTTTCTGTTCATAAAGGTTCCTTTCTTGGTTGAATCATTTAAATCATCATTGATGCTGGTTGTATACCAATCTTTGATGATTCTTCTGAAGTTTAAATCCAGGATGTCGCGTTGCCAATCCCCACTGCTTGGTGGTTTGGAACATGAATTTTAATATTTTCCCCAACCAGATTGGGGATGATGATCCAATCTGACGAACTCCATCATTTTTCAGGGGGGTAGAGCTCAACCACCAACCAGATCACTATGGAAAGATCCACCATGTTTAGTATACGTAAATCAACTAGTACTACACATGGGCCATTTTTCCATAGCTATGTTAAATTACCAAAGGGTATCCGCAACGTTGTTCGGTAATACCACGTTTCTTGCGACACCATTTCCTGGCACATCGAGGGTCGATGCCACGTGGTACAGCACGTTTCGTGGCAGACGGCCTGCAGAGTTGGATCTTGATGAGGCAGGGGGGAGAATGGGTGATGGTTTTGATACCGTGGATGGTTGAAACTCTGTAAATAATTATGGTTAATATAAATGTTAACCTTCATCAACTATGGTTTTCATAACTATCAAGTGTAGCCTGGTTGGTTAGTGATGGTGAATGATGATCTGGTTGGTGGTTTGGAACATGGCCCCAAATACCAGTTCAACTATGGTTTTCATAACTACCAACTATAGTTAAAGGTAATGGGATGTTTACCATCTATCAACTGGTGACACACGGGTTTCACTAGCCCATCCACAGTATGGCTCCCCAGGCGACCGAAAGCGAGCCATCGCTTCCGGGAGAGCCCACCTTCTTCCGACGTCGTGCGGTGCCGAACCTAAAGTCGCAGGGTTGGGAGATGCACCACGAGCAATGCCCCAAATAGCAACTAGTTCCATTGGTTATTTTGTGATTTAATTGGGATTTAACCAAAAATTGAAATATAAGGACATTTCATGGTGATATCATTGATAAATGACTGTTGATTGGTTATGAAATAGGGATGACTACTGGGTGGGGACTACAACTAAGCCGTAGGAAAAGGATGGGGAACCTATCAACCGACTAGTATAATGCCACGTTTGATTTCCGGAGGGTACTGATGGTTTAACATGTTTCTAATCATCAAGCATATCGGGATACAACTCTAATGCAAGTTATAAATGAGCAATGCCCTGGCAATGCCCTCCCAATACTACTTGAGACGACGAAGGCGGGGCGGCCCGCAAAGAACCGAGAAACAATTCACCAGAGGTGGGATATCATCTGCCATTGTTTTTTACAATGGGAAATTAGACTCTGGTTATTTAACGTAGCAATGGAAAAACACATTTTTTAGTAGGTAAATCATCATTTTTATCATCCATAAATGGACCATCTTTACCATAGCTATGTTGAATAACCAGAGGGTATATGGATTGATTTGCCAAACATGTGGACTTCACCAACAAACAATGGAGACGTATAATTGATAACAAGCAAGTTGGTTTAGTCTAGTAGGCGAATTGGGACTCATGATCGATGCATCTATAGCTCACCAATTTATAGCTGGGGGAGTGTTTTCAGGGCTTAGTGATCGTGTATGTTGTTTTTTTCTTAAGGGGGTGTCACAAGCTCTTGTAGGGACTGAAGCATCCTTTTAACCAATTTAATAGTCTACCACTTTAAGAGTCATGCTACTCATGCTACTCTCTTACACTTACATTTAGATATTTAGTATATAAAGGGTTTATTGCTATCGATTATGGGAATCCCTATGACCCAGCCAGTGCAACGGACTTGCACCCATAGGAAGTTCATTGCCATGGCCAACACTTGGGATGACATGGCTGGATTGTAACCATCCAGAGATGGTGAGTCTTTGTTTTGAGTACGATGGGTTTACCACATATCCTCTGGTGAACATGGTCCATTCAGTTTGATGATTCACTGGTTGGTGGTTCTGAACATTTTTTTTTCCATTCAGTTGGGAATGAATCATAATCCCAACTGACTTTCACTCATATTTTTCAGAAGGGTAGGTATACCACCAGCCAGTTTATGATTTTCCTTTTCGCTATGGCGGAAATGACCAGAGGGATCCAGCCCGGGCCGAACCGATGACCGTCGATTCCGGGAACTGGTTAGTGGTTACCCTGGTCACAAGGTTCCGGTGTCGGTACATCCCACCGTTCATACGCAAACGAAAACTAGAGTGGGATATCCCCAGATTACTTAGTTCATATTGATACAATATCCAAATCCTGTATGTACTATATCCCACTGTTCATATGCATATTCAATTACAAACTGTGTACCAAAAGAAAACTCTTCCCAGAGAAAAGTACCTGAATCATCACCAAAAACTTGAAATGCTGGGGAAAGTCATAGAAAATCTCAGTTTTCACAAATACATGATCATTGGAGGAGCATATCCATGCAGTTTTTCGAAACATGGGTTGGAGCATAGTTATTGGCAATTATTGGGCTTTGCCATGGTGCATGGTGTCAAAATTGGGCTGTGGTTCCGAAGCTGAATGATAAACCATGATAATCCACGATTGATAATCGATTAAAAACCCATTATAATCCACACTAATCCATTATAATCCATACTTGACAATCAATGATTCTCCATAACAATCCATACTAATTCATTATAACCCATAATAATCCACACTAACCCATTATAATCCACTATAATCCATGGTACCTATTTTCTAAACCTTGCCACTGATCCTTCCAAGGTTTCTGATGAGCTGCCACAGATCAAACAAAATATGGCTGCCTCGACAGGCACTGGGACCGCCAGTGATAATACCGGGCTTGAGCCTTTCAATATCAGGATTTGGCAGTCAATATGGGGGATTCAGATACCCTCTGGTAAACATACAAAAAGCTATTGAAAATGGCCATAGAAATAGTTGATTTTTCCCATTAAAAATGGTGGATCTGTCCAGAGTTATGTAAACGTTTACCAGAGGGTATTTGAAACTTGGGATTTATTCAACAAAATGTCTGACTTAAGCAAGAACTATTGGGACTTAAAGAGTCAACATGGAATTTGATTCAACCATCACAAATGAATAAAGACAGGGATTTTAAGATGAGAACTGCATTTAAGATGCAATTTCCAAACACAGTCGCCAACCCAGTTTGTGGTTAAGTGAAATGGGGTTTTCTCATCAAATTGAGAAACCGGACCGTTGAAGACTCAAGTTGACACAATGTTACCCATGTTTGAGTTGTAGCCGTGTAGCCAATGAATACATTGAGGCAACCAACGCGATGGTTGTTGGGAGTAAAGGTCATTTCCAATGAGCCTGATTTCATGGGAACTCTGATGATCACTTTGATATTGCAGCCCAGTTCTTCCTTTCATACAAAGTGGCGGGGCAACAAACATGTAACGGAAAGTAACTTTTTAAAAGTGGTGGCAAAAAAAAAATAGAGAGAGAATCGCTGAAACCAGAATGCACATGCAGGCGGCAATAATATGTTGTTCTCCGATTTTTTTATGGTATCGCAGTTGTTTACAACATGAATGCGTTTCTGGATTGTTCCTGAATGTATGCGTTAGCTATTTTTAAGAACTAATCCACGAACTGGTTGACTCTATGGATTAATTTTCGGACTGGAACTAGCCTGGATTAGTTCAAAATTTGTCCAGGTATGTTTTTGTTAGTTTCTCCCACCACCCAGAAGTTACGGGGTGTCCAAAACCCATCCAAGTTGGACCCACGTCTGGAAGCAGCCTTTGGACAAAAAAGGGTTTTGTTTAATGAACTAATGGATTCTAATGCACTACTTCACCATCCCCCATACATTTTTGGCCCTTTACCAGTTATAAGTATACTATAACAAAACCCCATTTATAGAATGTATAATCCCATAGAAATAACCAGTTATAACTAATAAATTGCCATTCCCCATGGTTCATGGATCATTCCCTTCAAATATCGCCACGTTTTTGGCCTCGTCCGCAGATTTGCCTCGCCGCCACAGCGACGTGTCTTCGGTGTCTTCGGTGTCTTCGAATGTGGCGTGCCTTGGCGACGGGCGCATGGCAGTTAGGAACTGATGATATCCCAATGATATAATGTGGGGCCCCTTAGATAGCTAAGTTGGCTTATAACTCCAACAACTGTGTTTTATTATACTTCTAACATCTTATAAAGAACTAGTTCATGGGGCTGGTAAACCAACTTATAACTGTAGGGCCCCACATTGTAGTCACCCCTGGTAACTAATGTTTACTATCCCCATATGGATATCCTATTTAATGGGATTTCATGGGAATTCAACCATCAACAATAATTGGGATTTAATGGACAATTGATAGTCAATGGATTGGTTTGAGGGAACAATTACAGGACACAGCCATATTTCATAGGAAAATGCCTGGGATGCACCCCGAAGTAGTGGGATATACCTCATTTTCAGAAGTCAGTGTATATAACTACTGTGGATGGAAGAAATCCTGCACCACATGGCAACCGATAGGGAACTATGAAACACTGTACTAAATGTGTGTTTTTGGGGGATAAACCATCTACCAACTGGTGCAGGATTTCGCAACCATCCACAGTAGTTCTAACTACAATGGTTACCAAGATATAACCATAATTTTACCAGTAGTACCGCACAAGGCGGTGGCGGAAGTTTCAAAAATAGGAAACCTATAGGAGAAGTTGGTTGTTGTGAATCAGGGATGGCAGAGCGAAGCCACTGATTGACCGAAAGGTGGTTGGAGTTGTGTTTGCTGGAATGGTTGCAATGGTTGCAGTGGTCCCCTCACCCACAACTGCTGGATGTAGTGTGATGTACTGCAACTGTAGTTGTAGTTGTAGCGTAGTGGAGTTGTAGTTGTGGTGTAATGTAATTAGTGTAGTGTAGTTGCAGTCATATGGTTGTAGCTGTAGTTGTTTTGTAGTTGTAGTTGTAGGTGTTGTAGTTGTAGTTGTTGTGTGGTTGTAGTTGTTGTGTAGTGTAGTAGTAGTAG